GGCTTCAGCGAAAGCCTGCATTCGCCCCATAGGACGCACACACATTTCCCCTTCATTTTTGGAAGGGGAAAAGTGTGTCCTATAGGGCGAAAAATACGGTATTTAGCTGATTATTATCAATAAAAGGTTTGTGAATGTTTATTCAAAACCTGCCAAGGAGTCCAGTTGTTAAAAACAATACAGCATTAAATATTAAAAACTTCCCTAACAGGACTGCCTTCAGATGTCTTTTAAAGATAAGATAGCTACTTATTTCTTTCACATCTGAAGGGAGGGCGTTCCACAGGGCAGGGGCCACTACCGAGAAGGCCCTCTGCCTGGTTCCCTGTGACCTCACTTCTCACAATGAGGGAACCGCCAGAAGGCCCTCGGCGCTGGATCTCAGTGTCCGGACTGATAATGTAATCATGATAATAATTCCAGCCTGTATCTTAAAAAAAAACAAATAAACATTTCCTCTTAATGTGGAAAATCCGTTCAATAAAGAAAAAGAAACATCAGTGATGCAACTTCATTCACTGCTTGTGTGGAAGCTTGTCAATTCATTTTGGAGGGGAGGTTGCCATGAAATATTGGTGGATGGCCCCAGTCAACCAAACTCTTACTTCACACCTGAGCACAACCTAGCCATTTGTTCCAAGCAGCCGAATGTTTGTTCTTTTTTTCCACGTCCAGAATGGAATTTCAATCCAGCAAATGCAATTGGTATTCACAGTTGTTCTTGCTTTCAGGTTCCAAAAGGTATGTTATTAATTACCTCCCCCTTCCATTATTTGCAATGTGATTTCTTTGCACTGAAAGGGGCAGACTAATCAAATGACAATGTAATTAGGGAGAGGAAAAGTGAGGTGCCGTACTTCCATGAAGAGGAACCTGTATCCCTCCAAACATTGTTGGGCTCCAATTCCCATCAGCCCCAGCTGGAACCACCAATTAAGACTGGAGTTTATTAGGGATTGTAGGGAAAGATCTGCCAAAAAAGCTGAAAAACATCTTCATGTATGCGACAACGGCTGCGAGAGTTTTAATAGCGCAAGGATGGAAGACTGAAGAAACCCCAACTAAAGAATCATGGCAAGAAAAATTGATGGACTATGCAGAACTGGCAAAACTGACATACAAGCTACGGGACAAGGATAACTGTGACTTTAAAGATGAATGGGAACCCTTTGCAAAGTATTTGAAGATGCAACAAAGCAAACTGGACTCCTTGGCTGGTTTTGAATAAACATTCACAAACTTTTTATTGATAATAATCAGCTAAATAGTTTGAGGATCTATACAACTGTGTAACATGCAGAAAACAGCATTTTTAGAGAAATCAAAGACTGGAACTGAGGGTAGTTGGGGGGTGGGTGAGTTCTGTGGGGGGAGGGAGGGGAGGGAGGAAAAATGGGGGGGAAATAAGGATAATATGTTTCTGGATAATATGTTTTGTTTTAATTTTGAATAAAAAAGTTATTAAAAAAAAAGAAAAGACTGGAGTTGCAATCCAGCTACCTCTGGAGGGCCACAGTTTTCCCACGCCTGCTGCGCATAGCTATTGTGGCTAGCAGCCAGCCAATGACACAGCCTTGTCCTCCATAAATTCATCCGACCTCTCTTTTAAAAGCCATCCAAGGGCTAATCTACATTTCCATTTGCTTCACCGCTTTTTCCTGGGAAAACGTACAGTTTAGGGCTGAATCAGGGGGGAAAACAGCAATTAGGTTTTCTGCAGAGTGCCGTTTGTTCCAATTTAGCATTTTCCGGAGGGAAGCAAAGGCAAAACAACTTATACTAGAATGCACAGGTGGAAGACAGGAGTGCCTGGTGTGCTCTGGTCCATGGGGTCACGAAGAGTCGGGCACGACTAAACGACTAAACAACAACAGTTACAGATAGGTAGCCGTGTTGGTCTGCCATAGTCAAAAAATTCCTTCCAGTAGCACCTTAAAGACCAACTAAGTTAGTTCTTGGTATGAGCTTTCGTGTGCATGCACACTTCTTCAGATACACTGAAACAGAAGTTGCCAGATCCTTCTATATAGTGAGAAGGTGGGGAGGGGTATTACTCAGAAGGGTGGTGGGAATGGGTGATTGACTTAAAACCATGGAGAAACCTGGTCTGAACAGAGACATTGGATTCTTATCTCATTATACATGACAAAGCCATTTTTCACCTTCTCACCCCTTGCTTTTTCCTGTAAGACCTATTGCAGTCGTTAAGAGCCGTCAACAGGCTCATCACAGCTATCTGCCAATCACCCATTCCCACCACCCTTCTGAGTAATACCCCTCCCCACCTTCTCACTATATAGAAGGATCTGGCAACTTCTGTTTCAGTGTATCTGAAGAAGTGTGCATGCACACGAAAGCTCATACCAAGAACTTAGTTGGTCTTTAAACAACAACAGAATGCACAGGGCAAGTAGGAAACAGTGCTTTCTGTTATGTACTGAAGTTCTCACCCTGGGCCAGCAGGGGGATACTGTAGATAGTTATGCAAATAAGGGATCGAAAGTGACGTTCAGTGATTGTATAGTTTTACAAAATTGTTACAGTTACGTTGTACTGGAGCTCTATATAAGCAGGCTGACTGAACCCTTCAGTTCAGTTCTGTTCTGGCCTGTGAATAAACAAGAGCTGTTTGAAGAATCGCTGTGTTGTCTGATATGTTCACCCACAACTTAACACTTTCTAGGCACAGGACAAGCACAGGACGAGCCCCAAACAAGTTCCAAAGTTTAACTATGCACCGCATGAAGGAAGTACTTCCTTTTATCGGTCCTGCTTCATTGATGTCCACAAGTGGACCTGGATTGCTCAGTTGGTTAGAGTGTGGTGCTGATTACGCCAAGCTTGCAGGTTCAATCCCTGTATGGGGCAGCTGAATAGTCCTGCATCGCAGGGGTTGGACTAGATGACCGTACGGGTCCCTTCCAACTGCACATTTCTACGATAATTTCCAGTACAGTGGAGGTCTGTTCTTAACCTGAAACTGTTCTTAACCTGAAGCACCACTTTAGCTAATGGGGCCTCCCACTGCCGGAGCACGATTTCTGTTCTCATCCTGCAGCAAAGTTCTTAACCCGAAGTAATATTTCTGGTTACAGATAGGTAGCCGTGTTGGTCTGCCATAGTCAAAACAAAAAAAATTCCTTCCAGTAGCACCTTAAAGACCAACTAAGTTAGTTCTTGGTATGAGCTTTCGTGTGCATGCATGTATCTGAAGAAGTGTGCATGCACATGAAAGCTCATACCAAGAACTAACTTAGTTGGTCTTTAAGGTGCTACTGGAAGGAATTTTTTTTGTTTTAATATTTCTGGGTTAGCGGAGTCTGTAACCTGAAGCGTATGTAACCCGAGGTACCACTGTACAGTAGCGTTAGGAGAGGGGGGGCAAACATTTCTCTATCCACCTTCTCAGTGAGAACCTGGAGGCTGAAGAGAAAAACGAATTGATTATCCCATTTCATGTATTAGCCATATATAGAGTGCGTGTGTAATTTAAACATTTCAAAACTTGACTTCCTTCCCCCTCTTTCTGCAGTTCCTTAAGTTCATTTTTAATATTTTCTGCAAATCCGAACTAACTCAATTTATTCATTTATTAATCTACTTTAAATATACACTCTTATAAAACTGCTGGTTATTACGATACACCTGCCAATGTTCTTATCTATTTAGTTTGTTTGTAAATATTCAATAAACCATTTCCATTATTTTATATAAAAAAGTTTCTTATCTTGATTTCTTATTAATGTAATGTTGTTGTTTTTATGTACCTACGTATTTTTTGCCATATTTTGATTGGAACTGTCCGCCACCGCTTCAGTTTTCTGTAGAGGTACTTTTTTTAATACGTGGTGGAGCGGCCTAAAAATTAAATCCTCTTCTTACAAGAGATGCGAAAGAAATTCTTCCTGTTGTTATTGCTGCTGTTAAATTAAGGTTGTTGTTGTTGCTGCTGCTGCTGCTGCTGCTGCTAAATTAAATTTGTATTAAATAAAAAGCCGGACGGACCGAGGCTTAATACAGTTGGCGCCGCAAGCAGCCTGCATTTGCGGCGCTCGCCTCCAGGGGGCGGCCTCGCGACAGGCCGAGCGCGCGGCCGGCGGCCACGTGACAGGCAGCGCGGCGGCTCCGGAAGCGGAAGCGGAAGCGAGGCGTCGAGCATGCAGCGTGAGCTCCCCCCGGCGGAGAGGACGGGTGTGAGGGGAGGGGAGCCGGAGAGAGACCCAGGCAGGTTGGTAAAGGGAAGGGCCGAGGAGGGGGGGAGTCCGGGAGGGCGGCTGGGGGAGGGGAATTCCCCCCCCCCTCAGGCCGAAGAGGGCTGGGCGGGAGAGGCGGCTTGGTTGGCGGGGAGGGGGCTCTGCGAGAAGCGGGGGTCGGGGAAGGGGGTGTTGCTTCCTCCCTTTCCCGCCCTGGAAATGCGGGTGGGGGTACTCTCGCATTAGGGCTGCCGCCTTTGTTCTGGGGTGCGATTTATTTCCCCTCCCCACCCCCCAATCCATTACAGTGGTACCTCGGGTTAAGTACTGCTGAAGCGTATGTAACCCGAGGTACCACTGTACAATCTTATCATTCACACACAATTGTTGTTTAGTCGTGTACCCGACTCTTCGTGACCCCATGGACCAGAGCACGCCAGGCACTCCTGTCTTCCACTGCCTCCCGCAGCTTGGTCAAACTCATGCTGGTAGCTTGGAGAACACTGTCCAACCATCTCGTCCTCTGTCGTCCCCTTCTCCTTGTGCCCTCCATCTTTCCCAACATTTATTAACTTTGGAGTTAATAAATCAAAGTTAAAAAACAAATAACTTAATGTATTATTACATGGTTTTAGGCAGTGCTATTTTTCCAGAAAATGAGGTGCCGGAACTCACCATGAACGCCTCTCTCTTTCTCTTAGAATGGCAATGGCACCCGCCTGAGAGCTGCCAGAACTTACCTGAGAGGTGCTGGAACCCACCTGAGAGGTGCTGGAACTGAGTTCCGGTGAGTTCTCCCTAAAAAAGCACTGGTTTTAGGTTGCCAGACTTCCACACTTTCCTAAATCTGATTGCAAAAGCCAAATAAGCCCGTTCATGCTTTCTTCAGATCTAAACTGTGCTGCTCCTTTAAAGCTTGGGAAAATAAAATACTCTTAGTTCCTCTATTCTCCTAATACCATTGTGAAGCAGGTGGCTGTTCTGTTCTAAAGATAATCTCCTGAAGGCACTGGAGATGAATCTGATGCCATGAATCTGGTGAGGAGTTGAGCATAAATTGAAAACCTGCATAGGGCAGGTGTTTGACCAGTAAATAGAGAGATTCACATTTTTAGGGATCAGTGATAATTAGTTATACAGTGGAAGGTTATGGAGGCAAAACATTAGGGGTTTGTGAGGAAACAATATGCGTTTACAATTGCTTTCTGAACTATTGAGTTTAAATTGCTCTTTCTGGTTTTCATTGTTAATACTTGCATAGAGGTAAGGTGTGGGTGTTGATCTTTATCAGGTTAACATGAGAGCTACAAGCTCCATAGCTGAGTTGTAGGAAAGTTGTAATTCAGGATTGCTGCAATAATATTACACTCTCAGATATTTTTAGTGGCTTCTGCCTCCTGGCTGTAGAGGTATTACAGACATTTTAATAACAGGCTGCAAAGGAGTCCTTGGGAGACAGTTTTGTAGTTCAGCCAAAAAGTTGTTCTTGATTGCTCCCAAAGCTGTGTGGTGGAGGAGATGGCTAGTTTAGCTGGTTGAGCTTGTTTTTCACTGCTCATATGGGAAGCATTTGAAACAACATGAGGAATACTTGGCTGTAGCAGCCTCTAGTAACCTCAGGCTCACTCAATTTCTCTTTCTTAGCTTTGAGGAGGCACAGGATAGTTCCTCAGTGGCTCTCCTTGCTAGCTTTGCCTTTTCTTGCTGCCCCTGCCATACCTCCCTTTGGAGCCAGTCCCTTTGGCTCTCACTATCCCGGTGGTCTTTACACAGTAGTTTATCTGAGCTACTGAGTGGGCTGCTTTACATTTAAGTCTCTTGAGCAATCACTTCCTTGCAATTTCCAAAAGTTAGGGTTCGGGGTTTTTTTAAATGAAGTTATGTTTCAGGCAGCGGAGAGCATTTCAGCAGGTCTTACTTTGCATATAGTGTGGGACGCTGATCAAGGTCAGTATGCATTATTTCTGTCTCTTCTTTGACTCTGGTATGCGGAAAGTAATTGGGCATCATGAAAAGTCTCAATTTATTTTGGGGTGGGGGTGGGGGGAGGCATGGATTGTATCTCTCATGGTGGTGGGGGGAAATCTTAAAGTAATTTGGCTTTATCAGTAGAACAAAGCTGTTTCTTCCCTTCTCACTTGGGCTTGAATGCCCAGCATTGCTCCCCATTCCCCTATCCTGGGGGTGGAGAGTCTGTGGCCCTCCAGATATTGTTCGATACTTCATCTCTGGCCATGCTGGCTGGAAGTGATGCCAGTCCAGGACAATCTTGAGGTTATAGGTTAGGTAAAAAGTAAAGAACCCCTGGATGGTTAAGTCCAGTCAAAGGTGACTATGGGGTTGCGGCGCTCATCTTGCTTTCAGGCCAATGGAGCCAGCATTTGTCCACAGACAGCTTTCTGGGTCATGTGGCCACCATGACTAAACCACTTCTGGTGCAATGGAACACCGTGATGGAAACCAGAGCACATGGAAACGCCATTTACCTTCCCACCACAACAGTACTATTTATCTACTTGCACCAATGTGCTTTAGAACTCCTGGGTTGGCAGGAGCTGGCACAGAGCAACAGGAGCTCACCCCATCATGGGGATTCGAACTGCCAGCCTTCTGATCGGCAAGCCCAAGAAGCTCAGTGGTTTAGAACACAGCGCCACCCGCGTCCCTGGTTAGGTTAGGGAACATTAGGTTCCTTAACCCCTTTTTGCCTCTAATCTCCATACACTTATACTTTTACACTCTGTCTCGTTTGCAATTCTAGTCTGTGCCAACTTTAAAACTACAAGATGAAATTGAAAGATAAGCTAAAGTACACATGGAAGCTAGCCCTGTTGTTACACGCACACCACCTTGTATGCTCAGAAATACCACTATGTAGCTTGTGAACATAAGAATTACCCTGCTGGAGGAGAACAAAGTTTCACCTAGTCCACTACTCTCTTGAACAGTGTCCCTCCTGAACAGTGTTTTTCCACCAGTGAAGCATATGAATATATTGGGCAGGTGGGTGGGACCTGAATGTTCCCAAAGAATTTGTACAATATGAGTAAAATAATAATAATCAAGTTTATGCAATTTCCATCCATTTAAAAATGCAATTAAAATAAGAGGGGAGGTGTGGGATTTCTGTAATTGCAAAGATGGAACATGGGTTAGAAAACAGTTGAGAAGCATTGCTCTAGGACGCTTCACAAACAGCCTGAAGATGATTGGTCTTTTGTTGTGTATAGCCAGCATTTTGGTACTTAGAGCTATATTGCTTATGAATGGAAGGCTCATTTAGCAGTGTATTATAAATATTAGTAGCATGAAAGGAGAAGTTCATCCTCTTCTAGTTTACACAAAACTTTCTTCTTGGTTACCTGGAGGTGACTCCCATTTGTTGCAGATGGCCGGGCAATAAATTGTTCACTTAATGTACAGTGGTGCCTTGCAAGACGAAAAGAATCCGTTCCGCGATTCTCTTCGTCTAGCGGTTTTTTCGTCTTGCGAAGCAAGCCCATTAGCAGCTAAGCGGATTAGCGCTATTAGCAGTTTAGCGGCTTAGCGGCTATTAAAGGCTTGGCGGCTGAGCTGCTAAAAGGCTATTAGCGGCTTAGAAAAAAGGGGGGAAGCGGGGGGGGAGGCAAGACTCGCAAGACATTTTTGTCTTGCGAAGCAAGCCCATAGGGAAATTTGTCTTGCGAAGCACCTCCAAAACGGAAAACCCTTTCGTCTAGCGGGTTTTCCGTCTTGCGAGGCATTCGTCTTGCGGGGCACCACTGTACTCATTGTTTCAAAATGTGTTCAAAGTTTTGGGGTGTCATTCATTCATTTAAAAACATGTATCCAAAAGTTACAATACAGTTATAATACAATATGTGTTCAATCAATATATCCCCTCCACAGACACATCTGTGATGGTGGCATTAAAATATCCTGTTCTTCTTCAATAAAAGAGAAAAAGGGAGACCAGATTGTGTTAAAGGTATCTTTTGCGGAGAGGCCTTTGATTAGTCACTGATGGTATGTGAGGTGTTTTGACAGAGCAATGCTCCAGATGTTATTAACACAAGCCTCTATTGGTATATTAGAAGTTTCCTTCCATTGTTGGGCAATAACTAGTCTAGCTGCTGTGAACCGAAAGGAAATTAATTCTTTAGATTTAAGGGTAGAATTTGCGGTCAAATCTAATCATAATAAGGCAAGCGCCAAATTAGGAGGGATAGATTGTTTAGTGATTTTGGAGGTCAGATTAGAAACTTTTCCCCAAAAGGCATGGACCACAGGGCACTCCCACCATACATGAATATAGGAACCTCGTTCTCCACAGCCTTTCCAACATAATGGTGAGCTTAGAGGCTTTATCTGTGCAAGGCATGGGGTGGGGTGTCATCTTTAGTGTGCAGGATGTGTGAAAGTGTTAAGACTGCACAAAAGTGTACATACAGTTTGTACCAAGCTTTTTCAGAAGTGTAAATGCACCACAGATAAACCCTGCTCTGCCCACCTCCAAGTCTTGCTGCAAAGCTGCCTAGTGTCACATCCGTATCTCTTGCCTTCTTCTCTTTCAGGTGTGTCGGGAGCAGATATTGGGAGATGCGCTGCACATGATGATTTAGAACACCATGCTGGTCACTGCCTATGTTGCTTTTGCTTTCCTCCTGCTGATATGCATTGGCTTGGAGTTCTCTGCCTGCCGTTCCAAGATCACCGGCAGGTCTTGCTCCAACCCAGCCTTCCTGCGGTTCCAGCTAGACTATTACCAGGTTTACTTCTTGGCCCTTGCTGCTGATTGGCTGCAGGGACCTTATCTCTATAAACTGTACCAGCACTACCACTTCTTGGAGGCTCAGATCACCATCATCTACGTCTGCGGCTTTGCCTCCAGCGTGCTGTTTGGGCTGGTCTCCAGCTCCTTGGTTGACCGCCTGGGCCGTAAGAAATCCTGCATCCTCTTCTCCTTGACTTATTCCATCTGCTGCCTCACAAAGCTCTCCTGGGATTATTTTGTGCTCATTGTGGGAAGGATATTAGGGGGGCTGTCCACTGCCCTGCTCTTCTCTGCCTTTGAGGCGTGGTACGTCCACGAGCACGTGGAACGCCACGACTTCCCTGCCGAGTGGATCCCCGCTACCTTCTCCAAGGCTGCTTTTTGGAATGGCATCATTGCTATCGGAGCTGGCGTGGTAGCCAACGTCTTTGCTGAATGGCTGGGGCTGGGCCCGGTGGCCCCTTTCATGGTCTCCATCCCCTTTCTCATGCTGGTGGGTGTCCTGGCGATGAAGAACTGGGATGAAAATTACGGCAAGAAGAGGGCTCTCTCCAGGACTTGCACTGATGCCTTGAAGTGCCTTCTCTCAGACCGCCGGGTCTTGCTTTTGGGTACCATCCAGGCTTTGTTTGAGAGTGTCATCTACATCTTCATCTTCCTTTGGACTCCCGTCCTGGATCCCCACAACCCACCCCTGGGCATAGTCTTCTCTAGTTTCATGGCGGCCAGCATGGCAGGCTCATCGCTCTACCGCGTCGCAACCTCCAAGAAATACCACCTGCAGCCCATGCACATCCTTTCCCTCTCGGTCCTGATGGTCTTCTTCTCCCTCTTCATGCTGACTTTCTCTACCAACCCTGGGCAGGAGAACCCTTCCGAGTCCTTCTTGGCCTTCCTGCTCATTGAGCTGTCTTGCGGGCTCTACTTCCCTTCTATGGGTTTTCTGCGGCAGAAGGTGATCCCCGAGAAGGACCAGGCAGGTGTCATGCACTGGTTCCGCGTCCCGCTCAACCTGCTGGCCTGCCTTGGCCTGCTGATCCTCCACGACAGCGACTACAAGACAGGCACCAGGAACATGTTCACCATCTGCTCTGTCATGATGGTGATGGCCCTTCTGGCCGTCGTGAGCCTCTTCACGGTGGTCCGTAACAACGCAGAGCTCAGGTTGCCCAGTCCGCCTGGTCAAAGCGAGGTTTCTTCTCCTGAGCTCTGATATGTGATGCTTTGTCTTGGGGGAAGTTGCTCTGGAGTTGGCCAGTCGTCTGTTGCACATCACAGTGCTGGTACTGTATATAGGTAAGGACTTTGCAGAGAGAACACAAGAGTCTCTTCTGAGTCTTGTGTGCCCTTTTTCTGTACATGGGAGAATCTTTTCTATGCCTTTTTCAATAAGGATTGATCCCTATCGGACTTGATCTGTGGCAAGCATAGCTTTCTTTTCTGCACTGTGGAGTTTTTGATTCCTGAGGCTTCTGCTACCAAAATTTGTGTGTGAGGGTGTGGGGAGTGCTTCCTACCACTTCATCCTGGATAGATTGTGGAAAGTAATGGGTGAAAAGGACACAGCCCTCTATTATTGTTATTTTTAAGTGAGCAGTGAGGTTGATAGACTGACCATCCATTATCAGTATTGAACTTGTTCACAATGTCAGCCAAATTCCATGTTGTCAACCCTCTGCTTTTGGAAAAGAATAAAATACATAAAGCTTCTCTTCTCAGTGTTTATTGGGGGGGGTATATATGGTGAGGCCTTCATAGTTAGGCCCAGGATTGAGTATTGGTGGCTCTTCGGATGCTGTAACTACAGTTCCCATCATTCCTGACCATTGGCTATGCTAATGTGGGAGGGAAGGGAGAGGGCTAACCCTTCATGCGTACATAACTGATTTTAGAGTTGCAACATTTTTAGAGGACGGGCAGAAAGGAGAACCTGAAAGGTTTTCCACATAATTCAATCCGTAACAGGAAACACAACTTGTTATCAAGCGGAAGAATATGAAAGGTTTGTCTTTTAGCAAATGTCTTGAGACGGAGATAGAAATCATAGAATTGTAGAATTGGGAGGGAGCATTTAGTCCGACCCCCTGCAATGCAGGAATACGTAGCTATCCCATACGGGAATCCAACTTGCAACCTTGGCGTTAAATCAGCACCATGCTCTAACCAAATGAGCTTATCCAGGCTGATATGAAGGTGCTTTCAGCCTTGGCCAAGACCAGCAGCGGCAGTCAGTTTTTACTTCTCATATCTCACAGGGTCTTCTCATGCCTCAGAGAAGGCATTGAGAGTTTATTGAAGGGACGTTGGGAAGGGGGCTGCTGGCAGAAGGAAAACTCACATCTGAAGAGCCACAGGTTCCCCATCCCTGGTTTAGCAACTGGAATATTTTGAATTCCTTATGTGGTATCACGATCTTTTGCAAGTCTTCCTTGGAGTATTTTACTTTTTTTCTGCAGTTGGGCATTGTTTGACTGCACAGTAATGAAAAACAATTTCTGATTACTACCTTTTTGCTTTCGTTTCACGTTTTTCATGCTGTTTACGGAGAGTAACAAATGAATATGAGCGTCTGCTGAGTCTTTGGGTGTCAGCCACTCTGGACACTTGGAAAGATAGCATGAAAATGTTTTCATAGTAACGGAGGCTCAGACTAAAAAAGGTGGAGGTGTGGTAAGAGTCGTTAATGACCAGTAGGAGACACTTTACAGCAGGTAAAGTGCGGGTGTTAATTTATTGTTTAGTTTATTATTAAATTTGCATACCACCCTTCATCCAAAGATCTCAGGTTCACAGCAAAAAAAGAGAGAAAGAGATAAAAACAAAATACATAAGAACAAACATAAAACAAATATATAACCTGAAGAGGAATGTGAGCCTCCTTGGGGAGATTATTCCACAAACGGGGAGACCCTGCAGAAAGGGCCCGTTCTCATGTTGCCACCCTCTGGACCTCTTGTGGAGGAGGCACACAAAGAACAGCCTCAGATGATGATCGCAAGTAGGACTTGCAGCCAGTAGCATTCTTTTCCCAGACTATGATTTAGAATCATAGACCAAAGGTTCATGTGGTCCAGAATTCTGTTCCCAGCAATGGCTGGGCAGAAAACTCCTGCTTTCTCAGATGCACCCGATACTCAGGCAGTCTGCCTCTTGACACAAAGGTTCCATTTAGTGCCGGCTTCCTCAACCCCAGCCCTCCAGGTGTTTTTGGCCTACAACTCCCATGAACCCTAGCTAGCAGGGCCAGTGGTCAGGGATGATGGGAATTGTAGTCTAAAAACATCTGGAAGGCTGAGGTTGAGGAAGCCTGGTTTAGTGCTTTGTTTAAATCAGGGCTGGGTAACCAGACTCCCAACTCCCTTCAGCCCCAAGCCAGCATAGCCAGTGGCTAGAATGATGTGCTTTGTTGTACAACAACATCTGGAGGACCACAGGTTCCCCACCCATGGCTTAAAACCTCTTCTCCGTGAGTGACTCATTCCCTTGCACAATGCAAGTGTCGTTGCAACATGTCGTTCATTAACTGATAAAATCTTGTTTTCAAAGCTAGCTCCGATTTACGGTGCAGATTATTGCAGATTACTAAAGTAAATAAATGATAAAAACCACAGGCGTTGGGAACATTTCAGAAAAGGCATCTGTGGCGCTTGTACAGCATCCTCTCTCCCACAGGAGGAAATGCTCTTTCTAAAATGGTGCCTACTCTGCCATACAGATGTGTCACCTAAAGAAAACCAATCATGCTTGCTTTCATCAGAATAATGCAGTTATGTGGAGATTTAATTGATATTTTTCACAGGCTGACAGTTCTACTTCTCCCCCCCCCCCGATGATCTTTATTGAATTTTTAGTTACATACTGTACATACACATACATTATATTTCACATTTGTTCTTGCTCTCCGGAGCTGACTTCCCTCCTTCCTTCCTTCTGGCTTTTTTGTGTCCTCTTTGACTTTTCGCATTGTCTTTGTCAGTTTTCCACAAGATTGTTCTTCCTCATTTTTTTCCATTAAATGTCCGTAAACAAATAAATATTTCTATGTATACAAATTCTTGCTGTCTGTCTATATTCATTTACAAATATTGTTCAATTATAATCCTAATATACATTTTTAATTCATTTTGATATTATTATCCAGTAAATTTCTTGTATTTTCCCATTATGAGATATTATTTTAATTCTACTGGTTTCCCTATTTCACATCATCTTCTCTATATATAACATAAATTTTCCCCATTCTTTTTGATATCTTTCATCCCCCTGATGTCAAATATTTGCTGTTAATTTGGCTATTTCTGCGTACTCCATAACCTTGTACTGCCATTCTTCTATTATAGGCAGTTTCTTCTGTTTCCATACCTGAGCCAACAATAACCTCGCCGCCGTTGTTGTGTATAAGAACAGTTTCTGGTCATTCTTGTCAATGTCTTCTCCCACCATTCCCAACAGGAATGACACTGGTTTTTTCAAAAACGTATGACAGTTCTACTTGTTACTGAAGAATTTCTCTTGCTAATTCGTGATTACCGTGTGAACAGATGTGTAAGCCTTGATTTCCCCTCCTGCTTTTGTACCCAGGCGGGCAGAAGGGATGGTGTGCATCTCCTGGTAGATCTCTGGGTGATTTATCACTTTTTGTCACATCAGAATGTGGTGGAAACATACCATGTACATGTTGCCAAAGGATAACCATTTCTGTAGCATAATGTTGCCTAGAGTTATGGCAGAAAGCTAAGGGAATCCATGAGCATGCTCCACCCCATTCAGAGACCTTAAGGAGGCTTTGAACCTCTTGTCTGGGTTACAACAGTTTGCAAGACGTGTTTCTAGGCAGGTTGCATCTTGGAATAATATCTCGCTTTATTGGCTGAGGGAGCCGGCGTACAGCTTCCAGGTCATGTGGCCGGCATGACTAAGCCGCTTCTGGCGAACCAGAGCAGCGCACGGAAACACCGTTTACCTTCCTGCCGGAGCGGTACCTATTTATCTACTTGCTTTCGAACTGCTAGGTTGGCAGGAGCAGGGACAGAGCAATGGGAGCTCACTCCATCGCAGGGATTCGAACCTCTGACCTTCTGATCAGCAAGCCCTAGGCTCTGTGGTTTAACCCACAGCGCCACCTGCATCCCCTCTTTGGAGTACCCCTGCCCAATTAACATCATCTTGTGTACAGAGAGGGTTGCAAGAGCAGTCATACTTGACAAACCTGTTGGACTGTTCCTACTTTCAGACCAGAATTATCAACCTAAGTTTGTGCAGGTGGTATTTGTTTTGGAGGGTTCGTCGCACCCATACATTGTGCTGGGCTATCTCTAATTCAGAATAAAATAAATGCTCAAATGCTGGTGCATGGTTGCATTGTGCATTTGTGGTGCGTATGAAAGGTGCTTATGTGTTTGTGGTTCTCCCTTGAAGGTGAAATGATACCGAACCTTCCAGGTGGCCCTTCATACTTTCAATGTGACCCTGAGATCTTATGATGAAGTGTGGTATATAAATCTAATAAATACAAAAAATTTAAAAGTAATATTGAGTAGTTGTTTTAGGCAGCTGATTCTATTGGGTGTGCCATTTTCCTGCTATCAATCTCCAGTTGCAAGCCCTTGTTGAAAGACAGAGGTTTTGGTTCAGGTGCAAAAGTACCCTGAGGCATTAATCCCTCCCCAAATTATTTCTCTTGCTTATACGGTTCTTACAGTGCACTTTATATGCTACAGATTTTACAGAGGCAACAAGCCTTAGTTTCCCCTCTGTGCTGGAAATTAGGAAGCTCTCTTGGGGGCAGATCCAACACATTACAGTGGTACCTCAGGTTACATACGCTTCAGGTTACATATGCTTCTGGTTACAGACTCCGCTAACCCAGAAACAGTGCTTCAGGTTAAGAACTTTGCTTCAGGATGAGAACAGAAATCGTGCTCCGGCGGCCGGCAGCAGGAGGCCCCATTAGCTAAAGTGGTACCTCAGGTTAAGAATAGATTCAGGTTAAGAACGGACCTCCGGAACGAATTACAGTAAGTACTTAACCCGAGGTACCACTGTAATTTGAAGGACATTCAACACATATTCAAATCTCATGACCTCCCTGCAAAGAATCCTGGGAATTGTAGTTTGGGGGGCACTGGGAGTTGCAGTTCTGTGGGGGGACCCTACAGTTCCAAGGATTCCCATGGGGTAAGTCTTGTGTGCTGAGTGTGTTTTAAATGTATGGTGTCAATCTGCCCTTGTAGATATTGCAACACAGAAAAGTGTCTTATTACTGAGACGTCTGGTTCATTTAGCTCAGTATTGTTCACACTGATGGTGGCACTTCAGGCAAGGGGTCTTTTCCCAACCCTACCTAGAGATATGCGGGTGGCGCTGTGGGTTAAACCACAGAGCCTAGGACTTGCCGATCAGAAGGTCGGCGGTTCGAATCCCTGTGACGGGGTGAGCTCCTGTTGCTCGGTCCCTGCTCCTGCCAACCTAGCAGTTCGAAAGCACGTCAAAGTACAAGTAGATAAATAGGTACCGCTCCGGCGGGAAGGTAAACCGCGTTTCCGTGTGCTGCTCTGGTTCGCCAGAAGTGGCTTAGTCATGCTGGCCACATGACCCGGAAGCTGTCTGCGGACAAAAGCCGGCTCCCTCGGCCTATAGAGCGAGATGAGCGCACAACCCCAGAGTCGGTCACCATTGGACCTAATGGTCAGGGGTCCCTTTACCTTTAC